TCTCGAGGTGGAATCTAACAATAGGAGACTTTCAACCAACCAATCGAATATGGTCGTTTTCGACGGATCGTGGAAGCGGTGTCGTAGGATTTAGTGGTTACGTGAATGTGAATATCCTTGTATTGGTGGTTTGGCGAAGCAATCTGATGACGTGTGCGACCGATTCATCCTAAATACGCATTGCAAACTTCTGCATGTATATATCATTCGAGTGGTAAGTATTGTGTGGAGCTCCGGCCGATTGGATGTACGTGGACCAGCGATACATCACGGTTGATGTATTGTTATCAAGCTCCGTAGAAAACCTCCGACCTATACTGAGAATTGCAATCCCATAATGACAAGGCAAATCATTTTCCGGATAAATGCAGTCGCCAATTGGTTGTGTTGACAACGTGTATTATGGAAAATCTGTGTAGCCATCGATCGGTTGATTTGTTCATGGAGCGCTGAAGAATGGTCATCAAAATTATCGGTTTATGCGTGAATTGGTTTCCGAGAATAGCACTTGTGCATCCGTTTTCGAGTAGTTCTTGAACGACGATTGTACCAAATGTGCCTGATTGTGGCAACCATCCGAATCGGGCCCCCCGAAAATTGGCAGTTCAAAATGTACGTGGTTTTAACTAGAATTCCAAAATTCCTGCGGAGAGGCTTCTTTGTAAGTTTATTCTGATTGACTCAATTAATTCAGTAAGGAGCCAGTGTGTGAACGCCAAACCTATATTCTAGGAGAAGCAATCTCTCTAGATACCAGTTGCCCCGATTAGACGAATGTTACACCGCTGGTTTCTTGGATGCGTAGAATGGTGCTTAGAATGTAGCTGGAATTACTCGACGGCCCTCCACATGTTTCGCCCTTCCTGGAACTCATTATTTCCACGTGGTTTCGGAGTGTCCGTCTGTCGACTGGTTTGTCTGAACACCACATTGTATGCAACTGACGCACTACATCATCATCGGAATCATCATCGACAACATGACATCAGCATTCAACACTGATTCTTCGTTGCCGTACAACCATGATTTAATTGAAGGCCTTATTGTGAAGAAAAGAACAAAGGTGGATGGGGAAGGGGCTTAGTGCTAGCGTAACACAATCATTCCGAGGTACCTACACCTCCAGACATACACTCAGGCAATCTGGATAGAAACTAACAACAAGAACGCTACTGACATCGGTTGACAGTCGTATCTTGTAGTGTCTCCAACCAGGCACAGTGAGGATCACGCGGTCCCCATCCTGGAAGGCGAGTAGCACCGACAGCACCCAAGCGTTTCGTGATCTCCTTCATACTCTGCCAAATCAAGGGGTGGCCACCTCTCTGTTTACGCCACTCCGAATTGGGCATGGAAAACAGTACTCTCTTCGGCAAACGATGGTTCGGCATGCGTAAAACATCCCAACCAACGCAGCTTCTAGTGCTGGACACATCCTTAAATGGAAGTACCTGTTGAGAATCTTCAGCAGTCCACATTTCACGAAACTCAGAGTTCCCAAACCGCGACTTTTCAGTCAGTGGTTAAACGCTCATCCGTTTGACCACGAATGGCTAGCCAGCAGTGTGATTAGCTCTCATTCGGTCTGGACATACAGCCAATCATGTTTGACTAACGGAAACTGCATCACGTGGTCACGTGTTGATTGGCTCTTCCAGTGATGACTCCTCAGAATAAAGCCTCACTCATCCAGCGAAATTATCCCACCCAACTGCGCACTGATGATGTCTCCTCGTATGGTGACGAAACGTTTGCAAGTTAGTTGCCAAGCTCGGCGAACAGATCAACAGCAATCTGATCAACAACCAATCTTTCCAATCAATCTGAAGAATTGGTTAGGGTAGCGACATCGAATTCCGGGTTCAATGAAGTGCAGTTGGCATCTACAGCTTAGTGTCCATGATACTTTTGTAGTGTCAGTTCTCCTGTAACCGCCGCACGTGAAAGTCCGAACTTGGCGGTCAACTAACGGTCATATAACTGACAGTAGACATATTCCTGAGCAGTGAGCGCTTTGCAGTGTGGTAATTGGACAGTCTGAAAACGAGCATGGTAACTTAAAAAGTATTGGTAGCTCAGATTGCGATGATGGCCGGTTTGTTGGCTGAGTTGGGCAGTTCTGTTGCAAACGTTTCCTGAACGGTTTAGGTGACGACATCAGTGCGCTGTGAGTAGACATGCATTGAGAGTGAAAGCTGGTATGGAAGAGCTACATAAGGAAGACGAATATGGACTAGCTTAGAACAATGTCTCTTACGACACAGTCGTTGAATAACTTCGTACATTACGCTGTTGTGGCATGTCGGCCAGTCTAAACTGACAGGAATTCGAATCACTCCGTTTTGACATCTGGTGTTAGAAGTGAGGAAGGATATCAGACCTCTAATTCACACCTTGAAATGGGCTACCGGAATATGGGCACGGAGACACAGATCTTCAGATGAGCGATCATGAAATGGGCTACCGGAATATGGGCACGGAAACACAGATCTTCAAATGAGCGTGAACGTTGATGGTGAACGTTGATGGGACATTCTGTGTGTGAAGCTCGTGCAAGTGGTGTGGGTTGAAATGAACTCTATTTGGCGTAGTGTTATATTCGGGTGAGTGGTTCGACTATTTTTAAGCAAGATTCACTCCTCACTAGGTTCCGAAGAACGTGTGGAGTTTGTGTTCATTCGACCCCATAGTAACGGAGACCCCTACTTGTGAATACAGCCTCTGTTTAGGGCAACGTGCCACAAAACCTGTGGCTTAAAACTAACTGTAAGATACGGGCAGCTAAGTATCTCACTGGACGACTCAAGCTATCAGACGACACACATTCCGCATTCTGTTGACAGTAGGAACAGTGAGAACTGTCGAGGACTG